ACGCTTCTCTAAATAGAAATGAGGTCTCTTCATTTGATTTGGGAAACTGAATGCCAGTTGGGGAATTCAAAACAGTGTTGGTTTCAAGCTTGAGTTCCTCTGCATAGTACCAAGTTCTTTCTCTTGGCCCCAAGGCATGTGTCTCAATGAGAAAACATGAGGGAATGATGAATCCAGCATATCCTGAGACCATTTTGCCTATATACTTAATGTTTCCCTGAAATTCTGTCCAAATGTGGTCCATGAATGAGAGGGCCACATTTGGAATCAGATTTGGATGCATCAGTCCAAATTACATGTCCCAGTGTAATTTGGACATCAGTGTCCAAATGTGATTTTTATTGCTATAGGCAGAGTAAGCCATAGTATGTAAGAAATAAGATTAGATATATACCATGGCACTGCTCATTTATTTTTATATGGGAAATATGCCCATCGGAATGAGAATTAACTGTTTCTTATATGAAGCAAGATACAAAGATGGAAGTCTATTCGTCACCATGAACTGATGAGAAGTGGAGGGGCAGGTATGAGCTGATGGGCCTAAATATCTCTTACTTCACTGAACCATTAATGTGATAGACTTCTGTAGTCATTGTTAGATTTACTAACAGAAAGGAGTAAGGAAGCCTTGAATTACTACTGATAATGTTTCTTGAAGAACAAATTAAACGAGCATTTCATAATATACAGTCACAGTGTCAGCCTATCTCTACCATGGTTTTAAACACATTTTGCCTCTCATTCTCGTAACTCCACATTTTCATCTTGTGTCCAAAGTATATGCCTTACGTTTACACAGCAAGAAAGCAAGCCATGATTCTCATAGCATTTATATACAAGCTGTGTATGAAATTGGCTATACATCCAGTTATAATGTCAAGAGAATCTCAGTATTTGATATCAATCACCTGTTAGTCAAATGACCCAACTTATCAGTGTGATTAGAAGCCAGCTATCCCTGGGACAGGTGCTTAGTGGAGAACTAGTTAGGCATGGTCTTCTTGTTCAAATTTGAGTCAGATAAAAAATGAGACCCCTTGGGTAGGAGGCAGCGATGCAGTTCAAAGGTTTTCATGGAATGGCTTTTGGTGGGAGACGAGCAGGAGATGACTGTCATCATTGATTCTCCAGTAGAATAGATAGAGCAGGTCAAAATAATCCCAGTTCAGAGTGAAAAACAGTAACTGTTATCACTGTTCACACAGAAAGCATGGCCTGACAGAAGGTATTTATTCTTCGGGCTGTGCTCTGCCACAACGCAAGTACATCATTTTAAGACAAATTTCCTCATCTGTAAAATGGGCTAATAATAGTAAGCTTTCACAATCATTTTGTACATAGGTAAAATATAAATACATAGCCTAGGGTGATGCTAGAACATTGCAAGTGCTTGATAATTAATGCCAAATGCCCACAGATTTCCTCAGCTCTTAGTTACTCATGTGCTAGCTTACGAGCTCCTACCTGCCCAGAAGCAGTGCCTCCCTTCCCCCATTGTTAAGTTCTTTCTGGATGTCACAACAGTGTCACCACATTGCACAAGAAACCAAGTTAGTCATGTCCTTCCATCTTTCCCCTGAGGTTGCCTCACGTTTCTTTGAGAGGTACCTTCCCTAAAGCCCTGCTCCCAGTGCCCTCTGGGAGAACACCACTCTGATCCAAGTCCCAGTCACAGACCTCAGGAGGCCAGCACTGTGCAGTGGATGAGAGCAGAAAGGGGAAGACAGCGTTTGACTTTTCTCACCAGGACCTGGAAGCAGCCTATGTGTGATTCTGAAAACAGACCTATCACGTTCCTCTGCTTCACTCTCAGGATAAAACTGACCCTGGGATCATGCTGGGAAACCAGCCATGCTTGTTGGCCATTTCCCTGTCGCTTCCTTCTGTCTCCAGCACCGTGCTCATTGCTGTCCATGCATTATCTCATCCCCCCAAGGAGCCCGTGAGGTCGCAATATTTAACCCCTATTTATTTATTTATTTATTTATTTATTTATCTATCTATCTATCTATCTACCTTAAAATTTTTTTAATGTTTATTTACTTATGAGAGAGAGAGAGAGAGAGAGAGCGAGCAAGCACGGGAGGAGCAGAGAGGAGACACAGAATCTGAAGCAGGTTCCAGGCTCTGAGCTGTCAGCACACAGCCTGAGATGGGGCCGGAACCCACAAACCATGAGATCATGACCTGAGCTGAAGTCAGATGTTTAACCAACTGAGCCACCCAGGCACCCCTATTTAACCCCAATTTATAGATAAAGAGGCTGAAACCTAAAGAGATTCAGAACACCATCCTCCGTCCTCTTTCACCTACTTAAAGTAGGTATCACCAGCCTCAGATACCTGCTGTCCATTAAGACAAGCCGCACACTTCCTGCAAATTATAGCAACTACTATTATTATTACCATTCCACTCTACGTCAAGTGAGACCAGAATTTACACTGATCCAATCATGAGTCTGGAGAAGTATGTGGGAGTAGGAATTGAAGCACAAAAATGGACTAGCAAGGAGAGAAGGGAATTCCAAGATTAAGGAAAAGGGTTTTGAAAACCAAGATGGGGTGATTATAAAAAATCATATGGAAGGAGTGACTCTAAAAGAATGTACCATCTCTTTTTTATTAATCCTCTTTTCAAAAACTTTTCTTACATGGCACCAGCTACATCTATCACACATTCCAGGGAACTCCCTGTCCTGATCCCTTCTTTAAAAAAAAACAAACAAAAAGAAAACAAAACAAAACAAAAACCACTAATGCCATCATCCAAATAAGGATCAAGAGTTTCTCTTCTGTTTTGTCCACACTCAATTTCCTTAATTCATCTTCCTCCAAGTGCAGGTGGGAAATAATTGAGGAACTATTTTTTTGGTGAATGAAGCTTTGATCCCATTCTATAAGAAATCTCTTAAGTGTACTTTTGAACTAATCCAATTTCATACCCGGTAGAAAACTTCCATTTCATGGAATAAAAAGCTAAATGAGAACAGTGCAAGAGCACCTTTCAAAAAAGAAGGTACACTAACTATACTTGCCCTATCACTACCAAGAACTATTCTCTTCCTTAAACCAAAAAAAAAAAATGAAAACGAGAACTGCTCTATTGATAATGCTTTATGTTGTTTATCCAGGGAAAGGGAAAAATACTCTGGTTATCAGACCCTTTGTGTGTCAAGCATAATTTTTCTTGGGAGATGTCAGTTACATTTTAGCAAAAGACCAAATTCAATTCCAATTCTTTTAGCAAGAGTATTTCAAGTAACAAAAAATGCAAGGTAATGTCGATGAAAAATAAAGGAAAATGCAATTTAATAAAGTGCAGTAATTCACAAGTATTATTACCAATCCATTTCCACTAATATTTTAAATCAAAATATTCTAAATGATCCAGCTTATGCTTTGGGATTTCCAAATTTTCCAAATTACAGGTCTACTTACTGCTGATGTCTGGAAAACAAGGGGAGGTGAGACCAACAAGATATGTGCATACACACCAATAGAAAAAGATGATGTGGTATCATTTCATTTTTCTTTTTGTGTATTTCTTGTTAGCAGCTTGAAGTGATTCATTGGTCATGAAATTAATAGACATTGAAAACTTTCCTGGCGACCGCCACTCACAGAGGCTCCTTTTCTCTGAAGCCTATCCTCCCTTGACCAGAATTCTCAGCCGAAAGGGGAGTGGGATGGACATGGAGGCCGCTGTAATGTTCCAGCCACTGTATTATTGGCATATGTGTATGAGCTGAATATATAGAAGTCATGGAAAGATTTAACTTTTTAAATTAAAATAATGCATGGAGGGGCGCCTGGGTGGCGCAGTCAGTTAAGCGTCCGACTTCAGCCAGGTCACGATCTCACGGTCCAGGAGTTCGAGCCCCACGTCAGGCTCTGGGCTGATGGCTCAGAGCCTGGAGCCTGTTTCCGATTCTGTGTCTCCCTCTCTCTCTGCCTCTCCCCCGTTCATGCTCTCTCTCTGTCGCAAAAATAAATAAACATTGAAAAAAATAAAAAAAAAAAATAATAATAATGTATTGAAATCTGAAATGCATATTTTTTCCATTATGTTTTAAGTAATATTTTTAAAAGATACTCACTAAACATAGGACTGATAATTTAGTAGTTAGTTATTCAAAGTGAAAATATGTGTATGAATGCCTATGGATCCACCTCAGATGTTCATATTTGAGTCTATTTAGTCTGTTCTTTCTTCACATGCTAGTAGTGAACTTCAGTTTGGTGCTCTATCCAAAAACCAAGAGCAGATGAGACACCTAAAAATATCCTCATTTGCATCTGTTTCCCTTCCTTAGGAGAGGGAGGGTCAGCCCTCCTGATTTTGCCTTACAACAAGAAAATAACTAAGATCATTGGGGAATTAATTCATTGTTCATCTCTCCTGCTAGCATGTCAGGCCCTCCATCATCTGCTTCAAATTGATGCTAAATTGCAAGAGAACAGGACAGGAGTCTTTGGCATTTTTCCATTGCATGTAGTAAGTCAACAGAGATGATTAATAAAAGGCCCTTGGATGTGAGTTGAAAAACTTGGTTAAGTGAATTAGATCCTCTTTACTTTGTCCTCTTACACAAAACATAGTCTTAGAGGGTTCATATTTTTAAAAGGTAGGGAAACAAAATATAACAAAATTACCACATATTTATAAAATATGGATCACTTCCTCCCTATAAAAATTTAAGATCAGTTCTCCAGAATGAAAGAGATAAACACGTATAGATGCAAATCAATTCTATATTGGCTTCTTAGTACCACATTAAAGAGAAAATCTGAGGATGTAAGTTATGACTTAATTTTGATTTTGAATGCATGCAACTACCTAATGTACATAAAATAACCATTACAGATTGAAACATCCAACAGCTTGCTGCATTTAAATGATTTTAAAATAAGTGCTTGTAAAAAGTCAATTTTTGGTGTTTTGCTGCTTAGGAACGAAACAAATCACAAATATGTTTTTATGTTGATTTTCTTTGACAGGACTGGGAATTCCCACATTTTATGGGAGATGTTGATGTAAATCTTCCTGGGTTGCACACTCCTCACATGCAGTTCAAGATTCCTTTCTTCCAGAAGATCTTCAAGGAGGAATATCATATTCACATAACAGGTATGTTGTAACTTTAAACACAATTTGATTGTCTCCTACTTAGAGTAATACTAGCTGCTATAAAAAAGCAAACAGTAACATTTTAGAGGCATGCATACATATAGTTTTATTTCTCACGTAACAGTGCAAGGTGGTTCCAGGTCACCTGGGGGTTCCAAAGTATCATTCCGGGACTTAGGCTATGAGCGGCTTCAATACTTCCAACTTCAACATCCAGCAGGCAGATGGGAATAAAGAGAATGGAGAAAATGATTAAGAAGGCTTACCTTTTTCTTAATCGCCTTGGCACAGGAAAGAAGCATGTGCCCTCCATTCACATTCCAGTGACAGTAGCTCATCAGATGTCCCCATGTAAGAGTCAGGGAGGAAATGTGGTCTCTAGCTGAGCAGCCACATCAGTGTCACATCTACTGTTCTAGCATACTATTCCTGGAGAAGGAGGCCGCACTTCTTGGCATGGATATTTAGCTATCTCTGCCAAACTCCATCTACAACGCCCCCTTGGTTTTCTTCATTAGGTTGGTTGCTTTCTCACAACATGCAGCTCGGCATTTTTCTTTCAGCATTTATACTTTTTACACTTTGGTCCTCATTTCCTGCTGAGATTGGAACAGTGGTAACCCAGAGCACCAGTCAGACCATGTGCCTTTAGGGAGTTTGGCCACTTCTCATCTGACTGAATAAAACCTACTTCTGTGGCAGAGCTTATGTTTCTCTCACGTGAGCCTCTTGCAGATCCTCAAGATTATTTCCTGGGCATATATGCCCTGCTTCCTAAATGGCTCCGATATGATTTATTATATTCTTTCATGACTTCTCAGTCATTCTCATCTATAAAAGGTCTTCCTGAAGTTACATTTTATACTTTTTTTTTTAATAACCAGAAGCAGACAGCTGAATGGTCACATATATGATGGCATTAGTTCCCAAGCTGTTCGGTTACACAGAGTGAATGTGTGTGTGTTTCAAGGACAATGGCCTAGGATCCCACACCTGCTAAAAACTGCTGAAGAAATCTGTGCTTACACTACCGTCTGTGCTGCTGAGTAAAAATAGCCTGAGCACAGAACACGTGAACATCTGAGTCCTGCAAAAAACCTTTGCTTCCCAACTTGAGGGCTGGTTTTTGCTTTGAGCATGAGGCGACCTTCCTAAATTGGAGAATGAGCTCATGAATAGGGAAGATGCAGCAGGTTTCTTCTCCTATTCAAAATGAATGAGGCCCATCTATTAAATTCACTGGGTAAATCAATCAATTTGAGTTCAGGTCACATAGTGTGGTTTCAGAGTCCCCACTTAATCTCGACAGCATGCTACCCTCTCGGACTTCTCAAACAGCTAACACACACATGGCATCATCATTTCCCTTTGGGTGGGCTTCTGCCTGGACCATCTGTTCTTGCTATCAGCTCTTGTCCCAGGCCATCATGGCACTAATATTGTCTCTGAACGAGTATCAGAATCCGTGTCAAAAATAAACTTCTTCGGTGCATAATATCAGGTTAAAAAGGGGGAGGGACATTCAGAGGAACTCACTGGTAAGAAAAAAAATCAAGTTATTAAAAATATTTGATTTGGGGCTATTTTGCAGAGCTTTGTCATATATATTTGCTATCATTTTTAGACAGGGACAGGTTCAGGTTTTGTGGTGCCCAAAGCTTACACAATTTGGAATGCTCTATTTAAGAATATAAAAAGCAAAGTTACAGCTAAAAATTACATTCGGTGCCTTGGAAGAGGGACATGCATACAGGAGTCCCGGAAGCCTCAGTGTAATTAGCTTTGAGATAAAGCCTCCCATGAAGTTGAACTAAAATCTTCATTCCACCAAGTATTATTTTCTAGAAACTTAAAAGGAGGAAAGACTGGCAGAGTTCTTATAATGGAGACTGCATGTTTAAAAAAAGTTTGGGAGAAGGTAGAAATATGTTGTCATTAAGGCTTTGATGCAGCATTTGCCAAATTACGCTGATAATCATATCAGCCAGAAAACCTTATAAATATACACATTGTTGGGCCCATTGCTGATGTTCCAACTCAGTAGGTCTGGGCAAAGGCCAGGAAATGGGACTTTTAAAAAGCTCCCCTAGGTGTGCTGGTCTTTGGGAACTGACTCTTTGCGATGGAGAAGCTGCAAGTGAACTCAGGTTATCTCCCAGAGACAGGAGACCGGCTGTGCAAATGATTGAGTGCCTGGACCTGCCGGTAAGACCTTTGAGGATTCTGGAGTTTAGATCCAAAATAAAATAGGGTACATGTGGACTTTGGGGTGAAGGGCTCCACCATAAACTAGATAGTTAAAACTAGAAGTTTTTATCACGGATCCAGTTTGTGGTAGGATGATCATGTGCCTCCCCAGATCCGTGATAAAAACTTCTAGGAAAATCATGGCAGGTTTGGAGGCTGAAGAAAGTCTGAACTTTTCCCCTCTTGTTATGTTACTCTCTTTGTTCTGTTAATTGCTGAAGATGTTGCTGAGGACACTCTGAAGTAGCAGCTAGTCTCCTGTGAAAGGCCTGTTACTTTATCTTGCTCTGTAAGAAAATGGTTTCTGGGAAAACCTAGATAAAATTTCCAAAGCATGGTACATATTGTGTTTTAATATGCTCAATAGTCAGTAGCCTGCAAATGCCCAAGTCAACTGCAAACACTAACATGATCAGCTCCTCCAGGTTCTGCTTCTTTTGGTAGGGAAACTCGGTGCTTTTCTCGATAAGCAAATAGAGTAGTATCTCTTGGTTATTAAGCATAAAACTCTCTATACCCATCAGTGGTTCTCAAATTTCAGTGTGTGTGAGAATCACATGGACAGCTTGTTAAAAAGATCCCTCAGCTGCACACGCAGAGCCCGATGCCTGAGTTAGGAGGTGGAGCCTGGAACTTCAAGCACCTCCAATAATGCCGATGCAGGCTGCCAGAGGACCCCTTTTTGAGAAACGCTGCTGCTGAGAAACACTTGCTACAGTCACAGTTCCTCTCATCTCAGCTTTAATTTATTTTCACATGCAACTCTTAAGATCAAAAGCCAAAGGACAATGAAAATTCCATAGAGTGGGGTGCTAATGAGAAGGGCACAGGATACAGTCCTGCCAGGAGCTGGAAAGTTCAGACCTGGGGTCAGGAAAAGAGGTCCCAAAATAGGCTATGTTGGGAAACACCTGGGTGACCACAGAGGAAGCTAAAGTCAGGGATAGGAAGGGATCCTATGGACCCCCAGACAGCTCCATCTGTTGCTTTCTCTGCCTGTGTTTGTTGTGCACTAGAAGAGTCTGTGTGACTCTTTTCTGGGGTTCAGAGATGGTGCCACCATGGCCTCAACTGTCATTTCTTGATGATCTAGAAATAATGTTCAAGGCATGCTGAGAAAATGGAATGTCAAGGTTTGCTGCCCAGACTCCAGCTCTGCCATTGACTGATGGCATTTCCCTTGTCAAGTTCCTTACCTCTTAGAGGCTCAGTTTTCTCATCTGTTCAATGGGGACAGTGAGGTACATATTCCTTACGGTTGTTGTGAGATTTAAATTAATATGCACAAGGCATTTTAGACACCGTTTGCCATTTGGTAAGTACTCAGTAAACTCTCACTCCTTTTACCTGAAGCTTTTCCTTTCATCCATCCAGAATTCATGTTTCTTGTTTAATTCAAAAACATTAGGTAGCCTGAGAGAGGGCTCTTTTATTATTTATCCACTATTCTGAATGCTCTACTGTTATCCACTGTTCTGAGTCAAGAAGAAGAATGCTAAGAATGGGAAAAAAAAATGTCTCCCAATGACGAGCTCTGTATGGAGAGGGTTATCTGACACTGATGAGTTCCCATTGGCATTTTAAAAGCATTTAAGATTTGGGTATTATCTAATCCTGACTCCATGCTAGTTGTCTTCATGCATTTTAGAAATGACTTGAATTGTTACATCTGTTTAGCTCATCTGGAGCCCCCTTGACAGATGGTTTGCTGCAGTGTGTAGGAGCTTTCATTTCACAAGCTGGGCTGCAGCTTATAAAAATAAATCCTCTCTATCCAAGGGTGTGTTCAAATATTTTTTCTGGGAATTTGGACTTCCATAACAAAGGGGATACGCGGTTAGTGATTAGGTCGCATCGATGCTTTTAGCCCAAGCCCATTGTTGCTCTCTTAAACATAAATGCTAACTGCAACCATGCCACTATCTCCTCTGGCCTCTTCCCTTTTACCTATAAGGTGAGCGCAAAGATGGATTCAAAATATGAGGCACTAAGTCTCCGGAGGCGAGAGAGGAATGGCCTCTCAATTCGCTCTCGGAAGCTCCTCTGAGTCCTATTAATGCCAATCCCGGTGGAAGCTCTGCCATCTGTCATCCCAGCCAGACAAAGGAAGTGTCCCGTTGGTGGCCATCATCTGAGTGAATTAGGAGGGGGTCGGGGGAAAGGCCAGAAGGAAGGCCTGTGCATCTGTGAGGAGAGAATTCACACTGTTGGCACGATGATGCCCACGGGAACCCTTTCGGCAAAAATGGAAAATGTAGAAGTAAACAAACCTCCATAGCGTCTGTGTTCTATTTCAGTTTCCTGAGCGGTGTGAGGGCACAGGTGCTTTACAATGGCGAGAATGTGGAAGATAATGAATAAAACCCCTCTGTTTCTATTTCCATAGGCACATGATTTCTGGCAAATGAGTTCCCAGAGATTGTTTTTTAAAGAGCTCTCCTGTGTCAGTCAGATCACGGGAAGTGCTGGGGAGGGCAGGCCAGTGGTTCATCCAGAATATTCTGTCTCACAAAATTAACAAGGGGCTTGTTATAGGGAAATGTGATGCATCCTGTTCACCATGACAGTCTCTAAAGATCATGAATTTATCCAAAGTACACAAGGATCTCTTGCTATTATCTCAGTTGTGAATTTTTCTAAACCTTTCCTGAAGCAGTTTCTATTTTCAACACATTTAGACAGCTCTAAGAGTTAACTATGTTTACTTCTACATAAAGCAGCAATTCCTTTTATTTGTCCAAAACTCATCTTCT